TACAGGAGAGCTGGTGGGGCGGATGGTGATTGGTTCAGTGGGCCGCTGGGCGGGAAGGTTGCTGGTCTTGGGCCGGGCCAGGATAGAGTGAGATAAGGGACCCTCCCTGTGGGGGAGGAAGGGCCTTCCTTTTCGGGAATTAGGCCCTTTCCACATGGCTGGGGAACGGGGCCAAAAGTCCTCTACCAGACAATAAGTGAGAGCTAAACATTTCACATGGACACCAAGTAGGGAACAACAGATACTGGGGCCTTCTTGAGGGTGGATTGTGGGAGGGCGAGGATAATAAACTACCTGTTGAGTGCGATGCTCATTACCTGGGAGATGAAATCATCTGTACTCCAAACCCCCAGACATGCGGTTTACACATGTAGCACGCCTGCATGAACTGAAAACAAAAGCTGGAAAGAAAAAAAAAACTGGTGTTAGAAGGAAAATGCTCCTTCATGTATCAGCTTTTGCTGTATAATAAACTATCCCCAAACACGGTACCTTAAAACAGCAAGCAATGGCTATTTCTCATAATCCGTTGTATCACTAACGTGCTGCTTCTGGGCTTAGCCAGAATGTCTTGAGTTGTGCTGGTGTGAGAACTCCTCACGGAGTGCTTAGAAACAAAAGCGTTACGGCAAGTACACTATAACATGGGCAATCAGGTGCACAAGATTTCTATCGTAAGCATGTTCTTTGTGGTATTATTTCTAATAAAATCAGAAGCTACCAAAATGTCCAAACAACATAAGACTTGGAAAATAATTTCACACAATATCAAATGAATAAAAGCAAGTTATCTTAATGTTGTATGTCTTTGTGTGTTTACATACGTACCTGTGCTAATACTGACTCACTCAGACTGTTAGGACAAGAAGTGAGTTATGTTGTCTTCTGCGTGCTTTCCTATATTTGCCAAGTTTTCAATGGCTATATTTTACTTTCGTGTAGTAAAATGAATAGTTATTAAAGGTAAGCAATATAAGGAGTTGTAGGTATGAAAAAAGCTGAATAATTGAATTCAGTCATGATCAGCACTTCTCTTGTTTCCTGCCTACATCCAGCAATCCCTGTAGGTAATTATGAGAGCGGCAGAACCCCTGAGGCTTCATTGCTGGCTGTCAGTCAGGCTTTCCAAATTCGAACCTTGTACTCTGCCGTGTAACTTCTGTGTCATGGGCAAGCTTCTTAACCAATCTGTGTGTCAGTTTCCCCATCTGTAGAATGGGGATAATCACAGCATCTGCATTATAAGGCTGTTGTGAGATTTAAATAAGAAACTTAATTAGCCTTTATTATGGCTTTTTATGGTTTTGTTTTGTTTGTTTGTTTGTTTGAGATGGAGTCTTGCTATGTCACCCAGGCTAGAGTTCAGTGGTGCAATCTCAGTTCACTGCAATCTCCACCTCCCAGGTTCAAGTGATTCTTCTGGTTCAGCCTCCCGAGTAGCTGGGATTACAGGCATGCACCACCCCACCTGGCTAATTTTTGTATTTTTAGTAGAGACAGGGTTTCATCATGTTGGCCAGGCTGATCTCGAACTCCTGACATCAGGTGATCTGCCCACCTTGGCCTCCCAAAGTGCTGGAAATACAGATGTGAGCCACCAGGCCCGGCCATTGTTTGTTTAAAAAATCCAGCAGTTGCCTATTACTAGCAATAATGCATTCATGTGCTTTTTGTTCTTCTTATGCCTAGATCTGGATGTGTGGAGGCCAACTCTTTATAATCCCCTGCTCTCGCGTAGGACATATCAGTAAGAAACAAACTGGAAAAGCTTCTACGCTCATCAGTGCTGTGACACGTAACTACCTGAGACTGGTGCACGTTTGGCTGGATGAATATAAGGTGGGGAACACACCCTTGACTTGGAAAATGCACGTAAGCCCAGAGCAGGACTTGTTCTGAGGAAGCCTGCCGCTGCCTTTCCAGATCCAGTGTTTGTCCTGGATGTCACTATCCTAAGCAAATTAACACAGGAACAGAAAGCCAAGTACTGCATCTTCTCATAAGTGAGAGCTAAACATTGTACATGGACACAAAGTAGGGAACAACAGATACTGGAGCCTTCTTGAGGGTGGATTGTGGGAGGGTGAGGATAAAAAACTACCTGTTGATAGTTATTGATAGTTGTTCTTTTCTCTGCTTTTCTTGAATTAATAGCACCCCTCCCACCCCTCGTCAACCCATCCCCAACCCCATTCTCACTTCATCCTAGGCTGCTACTCTTGCACCTCATTATTTTTGTTTTAATTTCTGGGAAAACTCAAGTTTCTTAGCAGTAAATCAACCACCGTGAACAGTCTTTTCTATGGGGGTGCTGGATCTATTCCCTCCATTCCCACCCCCAGGGAATTGCCCCACACCTGAAGCAAACAGCTTCCCCTTCTCCCTGCCCCCATCCCCACTTGCAACTCTTTGTTTTTTGTTTGTTTGTTTGTTTGTTTTGTTTTGTTTTTGAGATGGAGTCTCACTCTGTCACCAGGCTGGAGTGCAGTGGCACCATCTGAGCTCACTGTAACCTCTGCCTCCTGGATTCAAGCAGTTCTCCTGCCTCAGCTTCCTGAGTAGCTGGGACTACTGTCTATGACCGTGTATGTCCTGGTCTTCATCTTATGTTTCTCTAATTGAGAACACATTTTAGTTATGAAGACAATACCTTCCATTTCTTTTGTAATTCAAGAAATGTGAATTAAAACTTCAAAGAACTATTTCGACACCGCCTCTTAGATTGGCAGAATTTTAAAAGTCTAACAGGCCTGGCTGGGCACGGTGGCTCATGCCTGTAATCCCAGCCCTTTAGGAGGCCCAGTTAAGCAGATCACCTGAGGCCGGGAGTTCAAGAGCAGCCTGGCCAATATGGTGAAACCCTGTCTGTACTATAAATACAAAATTAACTGGGCTTGGTGGTGCATGCCTGTAATCCCAGCTACTCAGGAGGCTAAAGCAGGAGAATCCCTTGAACCCAGGAGGTGAAAGTTGCAGTGAACTGAGATAGCACCATTGCACTCTAGCCTGGGCAACAAGAGCAAAACTCTGTCTCAAAAAAAGAAAAAAACAACCAAGTCTGATAGGCCCAAGTGTCAGTGAGCAGTAGGAACTCTCAGCCCTCACTTATGGGAGTGTTGACTTTTACAAAATTGCATCTGAAAACAGCTTGGCAGCATCTACTAGAGTAAAGGTATGAATACCTTGTGATTCAGCAGTTGCGCTCATGCATATGCTACAGAAGTGCGTGCCGTTGGGCACCAGGACGCATGAACAAGAAGACTGATAAACAGCATTTTTTGTTTTAGCCAAAACTTAATACAATAACAATACCAATACTCATCAAGAGTAGAGTGAATAAATGTGATATATTTAGTTGCTGTAATCCTATACAGCAATGAAAATTAAGTAGGCTGGGCACGGTGGCTCACACGTATAATCCCAGCACTTTGGGAGACCAAGGTGGGTGGATCACCTGAGGTCAGGAGTTCAAGACCAGCCTGGCCAACATGACGAAACCCCATCTCTACTAAAAATTAAAAAAAAAAAATTAGCTGGGCATGGTGGCGGGCACCTGTAATCCCAGCTATTCAGGAAGCTGAGGCTGGAGAATTCCTTGAACCCAGGAGGTGGAGGTTGCAGTGAGCCGAAATCACGTCACTGCACTCCAGTCTGGGCTACAAGAGTGAAACTCTATCTCAAAAAAAAAAAAACAACGAAAACTAACCAACTGTATTATATAGTCATGTCTCACTTAACGAAGGGAATATATTATGAGAAATCATCATTAGGTGATTTCATTGTTGTGGGACTGTCAGAGAGTGTACCTACACAAACCTAGACGATACAGCCCACTACACACCTTGGCTATTGGTATGGCCCATCATTGCTCCCGGGCTACAAACCCGTATGGCATATGACTCTACTGAACACTGTAGGCAGTTGTAACCCAGTGGTAAGTATTTGTGTATGTAAATATATCTAAATAAAAGGTACAGTAAAAATATGGTACAGTATTATAATCTTATGGGCCCACCATTATGTACGTGGTCAGGCGTTGACTGAAATGTCATTACATGGTGCATGACTGTACCTACAAGAGCAGAGGTAAATTTCAGAGACATAATGGTGAATGAAAGCAGCCAAATACAACAGAACTTATACTGTATTATTTCCTTCCTGTAAAGGTCAAATGGGTAAAATTAAACCATATAATCTATGCATGAATAATCAGATATCAAAATTAGAATGAGAAGAAATGAATATATAATCAAGATAGCATTTAAAACTAAGGAAAAGGGTTATGATCAGGAAAGAAAAGGCAGGGAGCTTTCAAGTTGTCTTTCAAAATCAGAACATATAAACATATCTCATTCTCTTCAATAGTTCCTTTGGGCCTGGCGCCGTGGCTCACGCCTATAATCCCAGCACTTTGGGAGACCAAGGTGGGCAGATCACATGAGGCCAGGAGTTCAAGACCAGCCTGACCAACATGGAGAAACCCTGTCTCTACTAAAAATACAAAAATTAGCCAGGCATGGTGGTGCATGCCTTAATCTGAGCTACTCAGGAGGCCGAGGCAGGAGAATCAATTAAACACAGGAGGCAGAGGTTGTGGTGAGCTGAATCGCGCCATTGCACTCTAGCCTGGGCAACAAGAGTGAAACTCCATCTCAAAAAAAAAAAAAAGGTTCCTTTGATTGGATCTACCAAAATTGATCCCATTAATAAATAGTACCAGTTGATAAGCATTCTGGTTTCTCCAGATTTTTGTTACTTTCTTGACAATCCTGAAATTAGAATTCTTTTTTCTTTTTTTTGAGACAGAGTCTCGCTCTTTTGCCTAGGCTGGAATGCAGTGGTGTGATCTCGGCTCACTGTAACCTCTGCCTCTCAGGTTCGGGCAGTTCTTCTGCCTCAGCCTTCCTGAGTAGCTGGGCTTACGAGCACATGCCATTATACCCAGCTAATTTTTTAATATTTTTAGTAGAGATGTGGTTACACCATATTGGCCAGGCTGGTCTCGAACTCCTGACATCATGATCCACCTGCCTCGGCCTCCCAAGGTGCTGGGATTACAGGCATGAGCCACTGTGCTGAGCCTTGAAATGAGAATTATTGACATACTTCTTTTTGCATATTTGTGCAAATATATCTTTGAAATAAATTTAAGACATGAACTTGCTGGGGCAAGAGTTAGTGCATTTTAAATCCTGATGGGGTAATATCCAAATGGTCTTCACTGTTTCATCATCTGTGCTGCCATCAAATGTATATGAATGTGACTGTCTCCTCATATTGGTTATAATTGAACTGTTTGTTTCTTTTAATCAAATAGGTTAAAAAGCATCTCATTGTTTAAAATTGTATTTCATTATGACAAATCTTGAGCTTATTTTCATGTCTGTTGATTTTTTTTTCTGTGCATGCTGCTCATGGATCTAGATGGTTGATTTGAACATAGCTATTTCTGGATGGTTTGCTGAATTTCACAAAGTATATAGTGCTAAAAAGTTAAAGGCATATGATGTTAAGTATAAAAATCAATGGATTGCATAATACAGCACGTTGGGAAATGTAGTGACTGACTGGGATAAGAGAGGGCTCTGAACAGGGAGATGTGCCTGAGGTTATCGATGCTGTCTTGTCTCCAAAATGATGGCTTCCTCCACCTGCAGCCTCGTCCCCTGTACCAATCTGCCCTGGGGATTAGGGGTGGCAGAACACCATGGCAAGGACCTACAGTGGTCATGGATCCCCTGGGAGAATCCAACATGGCATGTCCATAATACATTAATTCGGACTAGCAAACTTCTCTTATTCAACACTATTACTATCCTGCATGCCAGGGCCTAGGAAAACACAGATGAAAATGTAAGGGTTCTGTCTGCATAGGGCTTCAGTCTACTTAGAATACCTTTTTCAACATGGGGCCAACAAAGACCATTAGACATTCATTCTTGGGGCTTCCTTAAGTCAGAGCACACAAAAAACTAACCAAGTGTGGTGACATAATGACCACCTCAGATGTGACACTTAGTATGTGCCAGCCGTGCTCGCCCAGGGCTTTGCATGTACATATTACACTGTTCAACCCTCACAACCCCTTCACAAGGGGAGGACTTGCCAAGGCCACACAGACACTGAATGGCAGAGCCAGACTTTGAGCCCAGTCTGTCCTCCTGCAGGGTCCCTTCTCCTTTAACTCCTACATCACCCGCCATTTCTGAAAGACAAATGTCTGATCGGGACCAGCGAGTAAGGGGGTCTGTCCTTGAGTATTATTGAAAAAACAGGAGACAGGGGATACCACAAGAGGTGGCTGGGATTCTTTGGCTCCTGAGAAGCAGGACCCAGTCTTCCTGGATCCTGCTATGCCACTTAGGGTGCCGTGGCACGTGCTGTGAACATGCCCTGTGTGGGTGAATCCGAGGCTCAGAGTATGTCTCTGCCTTCATTCCCTGGACAGAGAAAAATTGGGATCTGGAGGGCTTTTTTAGTTCACATGATGAAAATATATGCATCTATGTTAAATATAATCATTTGATCACCGAGGATTTGTTTGGTTTCATGTAATGACTGACCGTATATTTGCATTTAGGAGCAGTTTTTCCTTCGAAAACCTGGTCTGAAATATATGACCTATGGAAACATTAGTGAGCGTGTTGAGTTAAGGAAACGACTGGGCTGCCAATCATTTCAGTGGTATTTGGATAATGTCTTCCCAGAGCTGGAGGCATCGGTGGGCAGCTCGTGAAAGGAAAACAAATCACTATCGTCAATAAAGGGTTAAAAGTCTCCTGTTCGTTCAATACAGTGGAACAAGGGTGTAAGTTTGGAAGACTGTGGAATTATGTGAAATGGAATTATGTGAAATGCAATTAAAGAAATATGACCAGAGTGGTCTAGGATGTGCCTTTATTTCCCCCTTTAAAGAATATTTTTAACACTTTGTTACTCATCTGCTACGGAATTTCTGAGGTGACAAGATCTTGAACATTAGAAATGTAAGTGGTTCCACAGTTAAGACTCTATCATGCAGCTGACTGAGGTCAAACACATGTGTTTACCACCCCCACCTGGCCCTGGTAGAGATGATAGGGACTGCGTTCCCTCTGCCAACCTAGCTTCTGCCTCAGACAGACAATCTGTCTCGGTTGCCTTCTTAGGAAGACGTTCACAAGAACCATGCTTGGTGCGCAGTGACTTTGGCTGAGCTGCAGCAGCTCCTTTGTTCCTGCCAGGGTAGATTCTGGTACTGACACCTCACTCAGCTGCGTTCCTGAACATCTGCTGTCCAGTCCACTTGTCTGGGTGTCTGGCCAGATCTCCAGGCCAGCTTCCCCATCTGTCCCTGCCAGCTGTTCCATCATCTGGAGATACTCCCTCTTCCCTGCTTCCGATTTTGCCTTTTTCATGTCTGTCTCCTCCTGTGGCTCTGGCCTCCAGCCCTCCAGACACTCCTTGACACTTGGTAAACTGTTTAGCTGGGATCAGGGAAGAAGCAGCTGGGTGCCTTGTCTGTCCTGTGTAAACACATTCCCAGATGTCCAAAATGCTGCTTTCGCATCTTTGGGGCTAGACACATACATCACTGTTGGGTTCACCCTGGTGATGGTGGCTAGGAAGGTGAAAGACAGATAATGAGAGAAGAAACGCATTTTCTGAAAGGGGCAAAACAAACAAAAAAAAAAGTGGAAGAGAATAGCCTCTGCTGGAAAGAAGGTAAGTTAGTTTTTATAGCAGAAAAACCAATCTGACTCATCTATTGAGCTCATTCAATCAGCAATGAGTGTTTGCTTCTTGGGTCCAGGTATTCTTCTAGTTGCTGGTATGCAGCAAGAAATGAAGTTACTTTGGGTTTTTTTTTTTTTTGAGCCATTATATACAACTCAAATAACCTCTTTTTTTTTTTTTTTTTTTGGAGGCAGAGTTCACTCTTGTCACCCAGGCTGGAGTGCCATGGCGCAATCTCAGCTCACTGCAACCTCTGTCTCCCAGGTTCAAGCGATTCACCTGTCTCAGCCTCCTGAGTAGCTGGGATTGCAGGCGTTCACCACCATGCCCACCTAATTTTTGCATTTTTAGTAGAGATGTGGTTTCACCATGTTGGTCAGGCTGGTCTTGAACTCCTGGCCTCAGGTGATCCACCTGCCTCAGCCTCCCAAGGTGCTGGCATTACAGGCGTGTGCCACTGTGACTGGCCACAAATAACTTCTTTATACTTATCTATTTATCAAAATGCTGTATAAAATCTGTTGCTAGACAGACATGGGGCTGATCTATTACAGTCGGCCCACTTGACAGATCCTTTAAAAGGTTGATCTGGCAGCACAAAACAAGTACCACACTGTGATCGTATTCTTGGCCCATATATTATTTATATCTTTCATGCCTCTAGAAAGTCACTAAAAATTAATCATAATAAACCCATGAGTCTACTAAAATTATGATAAAATGCAAAATAGAAGCCAGGTGCAGTGGCTCACACCTGTAATCCCAGCACTTTGGGAGGCTAGGGGGGTCAATCACTTGAGGTCAGGAGTTCAAGACCAGCCTGGGCAATATGGTGAAACCCCAGTTTTGTATTAAAAATACAAAAATTAGCCAGACGTGGTGGCATGCACTGTAATCCCAGCTACTCAGGAGGCTGAGGCACAAGAATCACTTAAACATGGGAGGTGGAGGTTGCAGTGAGTTGAGATCAAGATTGCACCACTGCACTCCAGCCTGGGTGACAGAGAGAGACTCTGTCTCAAAAAAAAAAAAAAAAGCAAAATAGAAATCCTGTAGCTGAAAAAAAAAAGAATTATAGTAGTATAAATGTGGAATATCTTCTCAAAGTAACAGCTTTTTTTCTAGTGTTGAAATTTGAGAATATGTATGTAATATACAATGTTAGACATACTGAACCCCAAGTTTCTCTTCAAAGAATCAGTGTGTCAGTATGCTCAGCTCTCTTATTCTTTCTCTATTTTAAAGTTTAACTTCCTTGCAGTTTCAGTAAACAACCTTTTCCACCAGTTCTAATCAGTAGTTCACATCTGTTCCCCCGGTCCCCTGTCCTGTCCTAACTCATCCCAGTCACCTGCCGTGGTCACCTGCTCCAGTCACCTGCCTTGACCTGAGGTACCCATGGTCACTTGCTCTGACCTGTTCCGTAACTGTCCTTCCTGCCAAACTACCCACCCCGCCACTCCAGCTCATACCCCTGCTCTCTTTAAAATAGCCAATTGGAATTAGCCTAGACTGTGCCGTCTAACCCTAGCCAATAGAAGAATGACACAGCAGCAGGACCTACCTCCATCAGGAATAAGAACCCCTTCCTCTCCCTTGTCCATGTATGCACTTGCCATTGTTCCATCTGTGAGCCTCACCCTTCTATAAAAGTAAACTGCCTTGCTGAGGAAATTTATATTTGAGTGCTACTTCTTTTGTGGCACTGAAAATTTACTTATAACGACAATTATATATACAATATATATGTAACATTGAAAAGTATGTTTTTTTTATGGTAAGCAAAAAGAATGGATGCTGTAAATGTTAGCTTTGCCAAAAGCAAAAGACAGAAGTGTTCTCTTTTGTTAAAAGCCATGGGCCTAATATTAAGTCTTAGTTTTGTAATGTAATTTAGTTTCGGTACTAGATAGCACAGATAAGTCCTAGGAATTACTTAGCACATGCCTTGGACAGTATCTTCCTAAATATTGCTTCTGTTGACCCTAAAATAGAAAATAAATCAGAATCAATATCCAAATATTTGGTGTGATTAAAGGGAAATTGATACTTGCCTATACATGGCAGTTTTTTGAGACAAAGATTAAGAAAGAAAGTGGGACCAGGGGGCCATCACTTGTACTGGAGGCAGCGAAGGCCCCGAGCTTAGGTTCTCCACAGTATTTATTGGTTACAATCACTTCGAGCAGTCAGCAGATGGTGGGGTGAAGATGAGGTGATAGTGGGGAGAGGGTGGCATGATGGTGGAACAATCTTCGATGAACAGGAACTGGCGTGTCATTCCAAAGATTGCTAGCAGTGGTGACTTTGTGAGTTTCTTTGAAAAGCAGAAGCAGGTAGTTATCTGTAGATTGCATTCTAGGTGCAGCTGGAGGGAGTGAGTCTCACAAGGAGCATACAAGTCTGGTTGCTTTGTAATGCTACAGAAGGGTTGTGAAGTCCTTGAGCATGTTATGTACTGTCACAGAGTCAAGGTCACTCTGTACCCGGAACGTGAGGGCTTAGGGAAGTTTGCCTCCCCAGGGGCCTGACGCAGTTTGGCGCGTTTATTGTTCCCAGCGCTTGTAACCATTTTATGTGGGCACTCTGTAAGCCCTTCCTCTGTTGCCATTTCCCCCAACAGCAAGCTGCTCAAGGTTTTTCACAACACAGTATTCAAGTTTAACCAGTATGATGGAATGCTCAAACAGGTCTTAAATTAGGCCCAGGAGTTCTGTAACTGAACTTCTAGGAATTTATCCTAAGACACACCTGTATGAAATAACTAAGAAGGGCTGACATTTACTGAGCTTTCACTACGTTTCATACTCTGTGGTAAGCAGTCTGCATGGATTATCTCGTTTCATTCATACAACAACTTTATACATTCTATTGCTATCCTCGTTTCATAGATAAGAAAATGATGGTTAAAATTTGTCCAGCAGGCCGGGC